GTACTGTGGGGCAAGGTCACGGCGAGCTTTATAGGCGAGGAAGAGGAGTTTGTATGTGATGCGGAACTTGACTGGAAGCCAGTGTAGGTGTTTGAGGGTGCCAAGGCTTTGTTGGGGAGCCCGAACAGGACTCCATTGGTCCAGGCGGGAGGTGATAAATGCATGGACGAGGTTCTCAGCAACAGAGTCTGAGAGTGAAGGCCGGAGTCTGAAGATGTTTTTGAGGTGGAAGAAGTGGAAGAAGCCAGACTTAACAACAGATTTTATGTTGGATTTGTAGGAGAGGGTGGAGTCCAGGACAATACCCAAGTTGCGAACCTCAGGGGATGGGAGATGGAGCAGCCATCCACCTTTTGAAGTAGCGCCTTGGGAGCGACAACCAAGAGCTCAGTTTTCTTGCTGTTAAGTTTGAGTAAGTTGGTGGTCATCCAGGTTTTTATTTCAAGTAGGCAGTTGACTATGGACTGAGGAGGGAGCGGGGTGGATGATGTAGAGCTGAGATATAGTTTGGTATCATCAGCGTAACAGTGAACATTCAGAACTCAAAGGTTCACTTAGTCAGAATCACCTGATGACATCATGTGTGAAAGTTTAACAGCCACAGTTTGATATTTTAATACTTTAAGTAGATTTTACTGAAGGAACATTTTCAGAGGAGGACTCTTCTGTAACAGAGTACTGTTACTGTGAACTATGAGTACTCCTACTGCAGCAGGTCATTGGAGTACCTGTTTAAACAGGGTGCCACAGCTGGTCTGGATGGCGCCCTCTGGTGGCTGACATGTTAACAACAGACTCACAGAGCAGCAGAACTGATGGATGTTCATGCTCTGAACGACGGAGAGAGATGGATGAAAATGTTCCATCACACGTGAGCGCGGTGAGCAGCTGCAGTGTCCCTCACTGTTTATCTTCATTATCACTATGTAAGGATAGGACGTGGAAACACACACACACACACACACACACACACACAGACAGTCAGTCTGTCCCCCTTCAGTTATTTTTAGTCTTAAGTCAACACAGCTCTGAGCTTAATGACTCCACTGAATTCCTTTCTCTTCTATTTTATTCTATTATATCTGCTCAACAGGCCCCTCTCACACCACCTCTCACATGCTGCTATCAAGTATTAATATATGGAATGACAATAAAACAAATAAGTCAATATTTTATATATTAATTAACAGAATGATAAAAGATGAAATATTATAAATGATAAAATAGAGAACAGTCTGATGTCTTATTGGTACACAGCAGGAAAACAAACTTTCCTCTTACTAGCTTCATCTGGTGCTTTCAACTGCATTACCTGTCATTCCTCAGCAGATGGAGTCATCTCAGTTGTCACCTGACGACATCACAGTTCATTTTGAAACTGAGCAGAGGACCTGACGCTGATGTGTGTTTGAAAGCTGCGGGAAGAAAGCTAACATATGGACCTTTTTAATGAAACCACAAGCCTTTTTGTGGCGGGTATCACGATATGAAAATTTCATACTGTGATACCCGCAACAACTCGAATGGTTGGCATGTTGATGTTGTACTGTTACCCACGGCAACAACAAAAATGGCTGAGAGAGAAATTATTATCGACTCCACAGTGGTTCAAATAAGAGAAGGGGCTTCAGTAGGGTGGAATAACCTGCGGTGTCCGCTCAGAGGAAACTCATTCAGCGGCTCCTCTGGCGGCAGCACAGTGATTCTGTCAGAAACTTTTGGTGATGTAAATCTGCGTGAAAGAACGACCTGTATGTGAATATGCAATACAGTAGTTCTGGTAGCATAACAACCTGTCCATCACTTTCTTACTGTGACCTCGTCACATGTCCACGTTTGGTCATGGACTTTCCACGTCCACATATGACGTCCAAAGTACCCTGGGCATGACTTCTGGGTGAAAGTAGGTGGTTGTTGGATGCATCCCTCTGGTGCATTTTGTTTTTCATTTCCTGCATCAGTGTCTCTCTTTCATCTGACGACCTCCTTGGTAAAATCAAGAAGCGTTTCCTCTTCTTGTTGATGTATAAACAGACATCCTCCAGTTCAACCTTGTCGGCTATCAGCTGTGCAGCTTCTGTTTACCAGCTCTTCTGCTTCTCAGCCAGGTCCTTTGAAACGTCTCCAGAGCGATGTATTTCTCGTGCCAGGATGTCTGGCTCTGGAGTTCAGCCTCTTTGTTGATCAGCTCCTCTCTTGTCTCTGAGGGCTCCTGGGTCAGACTTTCTTTAACAGTGCAGAGACTGAGGATCTCAGTGTCTTTCTGGCGGATGTCTGCCTCCATGAGATTCACCTTGACCCTAAATTGAGTCTTCTGTGTCTCCCAGCTCTGTTCTCTTTCCTTTACGTCTTTGGTGAAGTTGTCCTTCCGAGGCTCTGGAGGAGTTCAGCATCTTTGTGGGTCAGGTTTTGTCCTGTCTCTGTGAGTTTTTGAACGAGACAGTTGTCTTCAGTGAGACTGAGGGTCTCAACGTCCCTCTGGTGGATTTATTCCTCCATCAGATTGACCTTGATGTTGAACTGTGTCTCCTGTGTCTCCCATCTCTTGGTATTTTCTTCCAGGTCTGTTGCGATCTTCTCATTCAGAGCATCATATTTGGCCTGTCAGGCTTCCTCGCTCTGGAGAGCAGCATCTTTGCTGCTCAGCTCTTGGTGTGCCTCCGCCAGCGTCAGAAGGAGACTGTGTTGCTCCTGGCAGTTTCAGGAGGTCAGTGCCCATCTGGTTGATCTGTTTTTCCATCTGGGCGACCTTCTCCTGGTACTCACTCTACACCTGGCTCTCGACCTCCTGCCTCAATACCTGGTTGGTTTGTTTTGATGCAGTTTGTTTTTCGGCCTCATACCATGCAACCATCTCCTCAAACTGCTGCTTGCTGAGGTGCTGGGCAGCCTCCATCTCCTTCTCCTGGCGTTGGAGAGCTAATGTGATCTAGTAGTTTTCTGTTTGCAGCTCACAGACTTTCTCAGCATAGTTCTGAACCCCTTGTCTCTGACCTCGAGCAGCTCCTCCAGATGTTTGATTTGGTCCTTCTTCTTGATGATGTGGCACAACTTCTGGTGTTTCTCCTCCTCCTGGTTTCCCCAAGAGGCATTGTTGTGCTGGTGGTGGTAGTTTTGGGGAGGTGCCCAACGTCCTGCAGCTTCACCAGCTGCTCTGTGTCTGTAGTTTGTTCTTCTGTCCATTGTTTTCTGTAGTGATGGCTAACAGACTTTGCTTGTCTTAGGAAGACTTGCCTTGTGCGTAACAGATCGTCTCTGTCGTAGACTCAACACAACAGTTTGTGTGACTGAAATTATATGAAAAATAAAATTCCAGAAGCTTTGATGCTTTTACACATCACAAAGCACAAAACACCAACATTCTGATGTGGCTGTAAAAAAGGACCAGGAATAATAAGCTTCTGCCTCATTAATCTGTGGACTTGATTTGTGTTCATGTGCATCCATGATAAAGTAAGTGCAGATTGAATAACCCCCCGTCATAGTTTTGTGGGTGAAGTTTAACTGTATTTCGTATTTAGGACCAATGTATGCCGTGTTTCAGTTTTAGCTCTTGCTAACTCATGCGGTCTTGGAGCAATCAATAATGCTAATTACGTAACCAATCTTTCCCGTAATCTTGATTTAAGTGTCTGCACAGTTTTAGTTTCCCTGTTGTTAGTTTAGTTAGGGAGATTTTTTGTTTAATTGATTATGGGGCAATTAAGAGTCATTTTGTGAAGTGGATATATGTAAAGTTATGGCGGATTTCGCCATTAGAGGGCACGCGTTACCAATATAACAGGGCAGCAAAGGAAATTTGATTTACCTCCCTGTATAATAATCACTGGTGCTGTCTCACAGCCTGAACTGATGCCTGTTGCATCCTGCATACCTGTTTGTTGTTAAGGTTGAATTGAATAATATAGTTTGTTTGGTTATAAATATGTATATATGTGTTTGTTCTTACTTTGTGGCGTCGTTAGGTTTGTCTTAATTGTGGGTTTTTGTTTTGTGTCACCCTGTTATTGTTTAAGATAATAAAAAATATTTAGAGTGAAAACCTTAGACACTGAAAAAACACCTTCTATATTACCTTGTCAACTAAAAATATCTTTATTAATTTAACCTTAATATCTTGTAATTTAATCATTAATTAACTAAACATTTTGGTTGTTTTGCTGCTTTATTTGCAGATGATGTCGTTCTGTCGCCTCATGTTTGAGTTACTTAAAGAACACGTAGGAACACATCAACACGTCCATGTCCATTCGCACATTGGACTTTTCTGAGAAGTTCATTTTTTTTAATTTCATTTTAAATAAAAGTCAGTTGTCTTTAACCATTCAGCACCGTTGTCACTGGACAGGAAGCTGTCAGACAAAGTGTAGTCTGAAGGTTGACCTGTGAGACGGAGGAGGAAGTGAGAAGGTGCAGAGAGTTGACACACTCAGTAACTTTGATAAACACGTGTGTCCTGTGTGGACAGTGTGGACGGGATCTGACGGAGCAGGTGAGGAGATTTAAACAGGACCAGTCTGAGCTGGTGTGTGATCAGCAGCACTGGGAGGAGACCAGTAAACACTGAGTTAATGAGGAGGCGTCTGTGTTGAGTCTGCAGCTCCATGACGTCAGACTGTTTCAACCTGTTCCTGCTCTGTTTATTTATACAGCACCCTTATTACATTACACATCGTCTCCCTCATCTTCATCACTTCCGCTGAAACACTTTATCTTTACAACACTGTCATTAGATTACACTTCCTCCTCTTCATCCTTTGCACTCCTTCCATCTTTTATCTTCATCACTTTGTTTTTCATCCGTCTTTCTGTCTTCCCTCTGGGTTTTTCTTCCTTCCCTTCATATCTACTTCTCAGTCTCTCCTTCTCATCATCATCATCAGGTACAACTGTTACCTCCTCTCTTCTCCTCTCCTCTGCTCTCCTTTCCTCTTGTTTCTTCTCCTTGCTTCCTTGCCTTCTCTTCCCTTTCTCCTTGTTTCCCCTACTCATTTCCTCTCCTCTCCTCCCGTCTCCTCTCCTCTCCTCTCCAGCTGATCTTCCAAACTTGGTCATGTTCTTCGTCCTGCAGCCAAACACTCCTGAGCTTTAAACAACATCCATCACACACACACACGCACACACACACACACACACACACACACACACACACACACACACAGAGTCGGCTGTGGTCTTTGCTCTGTTTCTATTTTAGCTCGGCTCTCACAGACGGCGGTCATGGCTCGCTGCAGGAGTTACTTACGAGGACTCGCCATCTGTGTCACTGTGCTGCTACTGGTAAGCTAACCACTAACTGCTAACAGCTAAGTGCTAGCTGCTAACAGCATGTCTGTGTTTGGTTATGATGGATGTGGTGATGATGAGCGGATTTTATTAGAAGAGATTTATTAGAAGAGAAAATTAAGAATGTTCTTAGAACGTATTTTGTTCAGTTGAACTCAGGCCTGCTTTTTGTTCTGAGATTGATTTAAAAAAACTATCAGCAAAACTTTTCTGCAGAATCCAAAATGTGAGGATTTAAATGCTGGAGCTAAAAATGTAACTAAATATTAATTCAATCTGACTAAGAAGAGCATTTGTTAAATATATATTAACTAACTCTTTATGAATCAATTACAATTATTATAAAATGTGTTAATGCTAAGCAGACTGGAGGATTCATATTCAACCTGTCTGATAAAATATATTTATGTTCTGCACTGTTGTTGTTGCCATCATGTGCGCTTACTTATATGTTTATTAATCTGTGACATGGTTTTGACAACTTTAGTTGCTTGTTGCCAAATAATATTAAAATACAAAACATTTTTGATGATCATGATTAGGTTATAAAATATGACGCAGTGTTACAGATTCATCTACAGCAGAGCATTTAATTAACATTAAAATTCTGCTTAAATAAATATATTTTTAATTATTACTCAGCGTATCAAAGAAGCACCAAGTAACCAGCACCCTCTCAGTACTAAAAAAATGTCCTCTTAATTAAAATTTCTTTAACATAAACAATAATCTGGCTTTCAACATTGTAGTAGAAGCAGAAGTAATTGATGTTTTAAGGATAAATCGAGATACTTAATCTGATCCGATGATGATGTTGAATTATCTGAAAGAGTTTTTAATTGATTAATTACTTTTCCAAAAAAGCTCTTTATCTCAATCATTTCTAAAAACAAATCTAAAATAAGTTGTGGTGTTCCTCAGGGATCAGTTTTAGAGCCTCTAATTTTTCAGTCTGTATACAATATTTTACTGATGATATTATGCTGATGACACGCTGCTTCATATCTGCTGATGACACATTGCTTTATATCTGCTGACGACACGCTGCTTTATATCTGCTGACGACACGCTGCTTTATATCTGCTGACGACACGTTGCTTTATATCTGCTGACGACACGTTGCTTTATATCTGCTGACGACACGCTGCTTTACATCTGCTGACGACACGCTGCTTTACGTCTGCTGACGACACGCTGCTTTACATCTGCTGATGACACGCTGCTTTATGTCTGCTGATGACACACTGCTTTACATCTGCTGATGACACACTGCTTTATATCTTTACACACAGGACCAAACTGATGCTGTTTTTATTTGGATTTTGGATTTTATTGCAGAAAATGTTGCAACCTTTAAAGTTTCAAAATCTTTAGCTCGGCTCTTCATTAAAATGTCTTGTGACTACTGTTATATTTTCACATTTAATATTCTTCTGTCATTTAAACATTCTTATTGCCTTAATCTATCTTATTTATTGTATTTATTTTCTATGTTATATATTATTATTGTTGTACAGTTTATATCATTATATCATTTGTCTTTATCATTTCAATTTTGGGTGTAAATTAGTCTCCAGTTGTTTTACAGTTTATATTTGTTCACTCTCATTTTACCTGTAAAGCACACAATAACCAATATGCTTTACAAACAAAGTTAGATTTTTGTTATCAGTATCGACACAAGTCAGCAATGAGCACAGAGATGTTAAAGATGCATACATGTAGAAAATGTTGCCATGACTCAGATTGTCCACTAGTAAGTGCTGACAGTTTGTTTTTTAAAACTGTGCATTTTTTAAGAGTGTCTTTTAAGAAGGAAAATGTTTCTGTTATGTGTTTGTGTAAAAATATAACGTTACATAATAATACGTGCTCAGTTGTGTAATTAGTGGTTAATCTTTGTTTAGGCTTGGTGTTCCTTCCTCTTTCTCTTCCTCCCCCTCCCTCCGCTCCTCCTCCTCCTCCGTCCACTAATTCACTTTTACGTTATGAAATTTTAAAAATCAATGAGGATGAAATGATAAACAGTCTCAATATGTCACTTTATCTTATTAAATGTTCAGGATGTGTCTTTAATATTATTACAACTAGCTGCAAAACAGATTCTTAATTCCGATGATTTCAGCCTCAGTTAAAGACTGAAAACATCCTGTTGTGGTGATTTCTATTTTCCTGCTTCCTGTTTTGACTCTTGTGTTGTTGTTGTTTACTTTATATGAGTTGATTACAGTCGTTAGTGACCACGTGTTGGTTTGAATAACAGCCTGTTTGTGTTATACGATGAGCCTGTTATGGTTTGTTGGCCATATCTTTGTATTTTACTGGGTTTATATCTTTTCTCGTCACATTTTCAGGAAGGTTGGATCTTTTCTGTTTTTCGTATTTTTTGTTTTGCAAATATTTATATTGTGTTTGATGTTTATGACAGTGTACAACAGATTCAAATCTAACCACATCAGTGTTTTTATAAGCTGCATCACTCACACGTTTACATGTTTACGTTCCAGTTTATATCTATTATTTTAAGTGTAACATTTTTTAAAATATTTGAAGTCTCATATTCACCTTCTTGTTTGTGTCTTTAATACATATCTAATGGTGGCTGTTGGAGGGAGCCTGAGATCTGATCCTTGTTGTGCACATGATGATAAATAAGTGAAAGCTACAGTAGCTGCAACAACCAATGACGTGCAGATAAAATCTTGTTCCCACAAAGTGATTCAGAGTGAGACTATTTCCCAAAGCTGCTGCTGTGAGCTGTGGAAACTTTAAGCGGAGGGAAATGCTGTTTTAGTGACTGTGGGACGGAGTGACGTCAGAGCAGAGCTGGCAGCCGATGGAGTCTGATGAGCGTCTCTCGGGGGAAACAGTTTGTCAGGAATGTTGCTACAGTTAAAGAGTTCCTCCGTCAGTGAAACCCAACAAACACTCAGTCACTTTAATCCCACTTCATTATGTCTCTGCAGGTGTCTGGGGTGGTGATGATCGGCGTCGGATTCTCCTCCATTGACGGCAACACGCCGGTTGCCGAGGTAACTGTGTGTGTGTGTGTGTGTGTGTGTGTGTGTGTGTGTGTGTGTTTAACCCCAACAAATAAAGTGAAAGTTTTACTGCCATGTGCCGCCTGTTGGTCTGTTGTTGGAGCAACTTTCTCCATAAACCAGAAGGAACATAATTATCTTAATAGACGAGGGATTCAACTAATGACTGATAAACTGAGTGAACATACATTAATGAGCATTTAATATCTCTACCTACAAATTAGGGAGAAAAACACAATGAAATAACTGAATAAACTAAAAAATATAATCACTACAGGTCCATTTTTAACTTTATTAAATCATTGCAGTATTTTTGATAAATTATATACATATACAGTATGATATTTATTTTATGAATTTTTTGGGATGCAGTGTGAACATTTAATGATTAAATAAATAAATAAATAATACTAAATATAATCTAACTATACTATAAATAAGATAAAATTAGATAAATCATAATTTGTATGATAAAAATGGAGATAATTTCAAGAAATGTAATATTTGAATATTAATACATATTGTATAGTTAAAACATTATCTACATAATCATGATTAAGATTTAATTGAGATAAATAAATATTATGTACATTTTAACAATTAAAACCAACACAATTATGATGTGAATAAATATTTTATAAATATTAGATAAATCACAATCTCTGTATTTATAATAAGATTAAACACATAGCTAAATTAAAATACTTATTATTTGCATATTTTCTAAACATATAATAATCAATATGATTAGAATAAACATAATTAAAATAAATATTAGATATATTATAATTATTGTTATCTATACAATTAAAATAAAGATGTAGGCCTAATTAAAATGTTTTTATTTTTATAAATATTAGATAATTTAATTCAATTTTTATTTCTTTTAATTTTATATACTTTATAAATCCCCAAGGGGAAATTCATTTTTTTAATTCATAACCTATATGATTAAAGTATGAAAAAGTAAAGTACAATTTAAATAAGATATATTATTGGAATTATTTTCTATGGAATTAAAACAAAGCTAGAATTACACATTATTTGATTATTCATAGATAGAATTTTATTTAAATAAATCAATATCTTGTAAATAATAGGTCATTGTAATCAATTATTTTAAAGATATCATTAAAAATAAATATTGAATATTATTTTAAAATGTATATATAATTTAAAAATCCTAATCATTGTAATAGTGGTTAATTAAGTTTAATTAACATTATACTAGATATGTTATAATAATAATTATCTAAGTTAAAAGAAAGATATAATTAAAATAAATAAATGAAGTAAATCAGAAAATTCACTGTATTATTAAAATAAAGATATGATTGATTTTTCAAGATAACCTATGAAATTGTAATAGAAGTACAGTTATAATTAAAGTAAATACATACATATTAGATATATTCCAATAATTAGACATCATCTATATAATCAAAATAAAGATAGAAATAAAAATATTTTAAATAACACAGTTTTTTGCCCCATTTTAATATAATGATTGTTTTTATATGTTTATGTTGAAGAATCACTGATGTTTAATTTTCATGGATTCATTTGATCACAAGTTTTGATTTTATTATCAGAGTAAATTAACTTTTAATTAACTTTTTATTCATTTTAAATAACTTTTTATTAAACACTTTATTTTATTGATTAAAGGAAGAGTCTCGTTACACCATCAGTTGATTCTGTTTATCGCAGGCTAACGCTCCAGACTACATTAGCTGCTAGCATAACACACTGTTGATGGTTGAATTGCATCATGGGTAATGTAGGCGACAGGTTTTAACCAGGAAGAAGAATGTCTGGAATAAAAAAGATTAATTCTGCTTCTGCTGCATCAAAGTTTATACTTTAAAAAATCCTGTTCATCATGAATTTATGAAACTTCACAGGTTGAATCATCAGTTTCGAATTTTTACTGCATGTTTGAAAACGCGTTTTTTTTTCTTCATAAAATGTTGAAGCTTGTGAAAAGATGAGAAGTTAACTCCGACTCCCAGAGTGCATTTCACAAGGAAACATCCAGTCACAGAGCTCTGAACTATTTTCTGTTCTCTGTTAAATACTTTGGGGAGAGACAGAAACAAAAATCTGTGTCTCAAATCAAATGTTTTTGTTTTTGTTTGTTTGTTTGTTTGATCTCTGTGTCTTCCAGCTGTTCGAACAGTTGTCCAGTAGCGACGGCTTACTGGTGCTGCAGGTGTTTGGCCCCATCACAGTGATTCTGTCCATCATGGGCATCTGTGCTGCATCTTTAGACCTCAAACCTCTGCTGCTGGTGGTGAGAGAGAGAGACACACACACACACACACACACACACACACACAGAGGGGGCAGAGCTAATGTGTCATTATCTCTGCAGTTCTCTGCTCTGATATTCGTGGAGTTCGTGGCCATGATGGTTGTCGCCTCACCGCTGGTTCAGGTTCAAGCTCAGGTGACTCTACCTGTCTGTATCTCTGTCCTCTTTGATTACAGTGTCAGCCGCTCTGAGACGTCCCTGCTGCCCCCTGCAGGCTGCAGTGTTCATCACAGCTGCCTGTGACCATATTTTAGCTCTTAACCACATTTAAACATCAGTCAACGACCGTAAATAATTCAGTTGCAGAAATGTTTTATATCTGGGTGCTGGACACAGACTGTAGGTTGATTTGAACAATTAGAAATTGTGTTGTTGCAAAATGTAATATATAGAAAGCTTAAAACTATAAAACTCTCTGTGCATCAAATCAATCTTTCCATCACTGTTTTGTGTCTGCGTCCTGCAGATGGACGGTGCGGTGGACGAGGTGTTCCTGAACGTAACTCCCCTCCACAGAGCCGAGCGTTACATCCAGACTGAACTCAGCAAACTCCAGGCCTCCGTAAGACACACACAGAAACACGGGACATAAAGCAGCGCTAGGTATTTCACTACCCGAGGCCTCATGAAGCCAGCTCACCTCACTCAGGATATCTGAGGTTATCTGGTCTGCCTAACCCGTCACATTGGCTGTCACACCGCACACAAACAACCAGCCCAGAGTTTTGTCTCTGCTAATAAAATAAATGCTTTGAGGCTTTTAGTTTTTAACAAGACAGTTTTAAATGTTCCAAAATGATGACTGATCTTCCTTTGATTTGACTCTACCTGGTCAGAATCACACTGAAGACTTGTCTGTTTCTCAGGACTCGTGTTGTGGTTTGAGGAGTTTTGAGGACTGGGAGAATCAACTTCCTGACACCTGTCTGTGCACGCCTAGCGTCTCCGACCTGCAGCACAGGTGAGACAGCAACACACGCAAAACTCAAAGTTCTCTGGCTGAAGAGTTCTGGATAAAAACAACAACTGATCATTCAAGATTTTTCCAAGAGATTCTGGAAGAATTTACAAATCTTAATGATTTTATGATTTTCTAGAAACTACTTCTTGTTACGTTTTTGAGTTTTTTTGAAGACTGAACATTTTTGAAGTTCTAGAAGTTTCTTGTAAAGTGATGAAAGCCTGAGTTTTTTTAAGTTTCTGAAAGACTTTCTGGATTTCTGTAAAAGTTTTTGAGCTTCTAGATGAATTTCTGAATTTCAAAAAGTTTTTTGAATTTCTGAAAGTTACATAAGAGTTGAAAGTTTGTTAAAGAGTTTTTTTGTTTTCTTAAACATTTTTAAAGTTTTTTTTAGGTTTCTAGAATTTATAAATCTTGATTTTACAAATTCTAGACATTTTTTTGAGTTTCTTGTTGATTTCTTGAAAAGTTTTTGAGATTTTTTTCTAAAATTGATGCTTTTCTGAATTTCTAGAAGTTTATTTTTTTTTTTAGATTTATTTGCATTTATTTGCATCGTTTCAGAAAGTCATCTGGATTTCAGGGTGAGTTTTTGAGTTTCTTGACAAATTTCTGGAATTCAAAAAGAGTTTCTGAGATTTCTCAAAATAGTTATAGATTCCTCGTGGAGTTTGAGTTTCTCTAAAATCTTACTGGAGGAATTGCTGAGTTTATCAATTTTCTAGAAAAATGTTTACATTTTAATGATTTTCCAGATGTCTTTGCAAGCTTCTTATAGAGTTTGTAATTTATTTAAAAAGTTTTAAGAATATGATGAAAGTTAGAAGAATTTCTCGGGTTTTATAAGACTTAATACATCTTGATGATTTTCCTGACACTTTAAAAAAGCTTTTTGTAGAGTTTGTAAGCTTCTTGAAAAGTTTGTATAAGAAATAGAAATAGTTGGTTTTGAGCTACTAGAAGGATTTCCCTAATGTGTAGTGAAGTTACTCAAAGAGCTTTTCAGCTTTTCGTAGATTTTACAAGTTATTTTCTAGAAATATTTAGAAGAATTTCTCAATTTTTTGAAAACATTATACATCTTGATGATTTGATGATTTCTAGACACTTTAACAAGCTTTTTGTAGAGTTTGTTCATCGAAGACTTTGAAAGTTAGACACATTTTTTCATAGTTGTTTTTGAGCTTCTAGAAGGATTTCTGAATTCTGACCATTCAAGATATTTTAAGGTTTCGGTTATTCTTCAGAGATGTTGCTCAGGTTTTGTTCCTGTTCTTCGTCTCTCAGCTCTCAGCCTGGTAACTGGAGCTCAGAGGGGCCCTGTGTGATGGTGGGTGGTGACCTTTCCCCTCCGACCCAAAAAGTCAGAGATAAACTGTGGGTTCACTCTGAGGTAACTCAGCTACAGGAGTTCATTCTCTTTTTCACGGTCGTTAACTGCTTCTGCTTCAAATTCGATTTTCCCTCTTCCATCTTCCTTCCCTCTGACACTTCTTCCTGACTTTCCTTTCCTTCTTCACTTCCTTCCTTCTTTTCCTCTTCCTGTGCTTCAGGTTTTATTCCCAATGTTTAATCAGTTTATGGTTCTTCTCTCTGCGACTGCGGCACTTCACGTTTACGTTTTCACACATAGGACACATTATGTTCGGCTCCTGTCTGCAAACACTGATGTTGATTTGAGCTTTCACCAGACTGCACCTGACTTTCAATAAGTCCTCATTCTTGTCCTTACCTGACACTGACCTCTGACCTCACTGTGGAGGATTAACAGAGAGTTTTCCTGATGTACTTCAACATGTTTTTTTATTAATGTTGACCTTTGACCTGCAGCCCTGTGGTCCCATCCTGAAGAGCTACCTGAGCTTCCCCATCAAACTGCGGATAGGAATCATTTCAGCCTTCGCCACCATCACGGTACAGTTAACACACCGTCTTCCTGTTCGATCGAACGGTTCTGTCTCCTTGTTGTTGCTTTAAAGCGTCAGTATGATGCTGTATATTATATATTCACTGCAGACTGCGGATGTTCCTGACGTTAACACAAAGTTTAAACTTAAATCAGCTGACTGTCAGAAAACACTCAGCCACAGTCTTTATTTTTATGTTTGATCATCGTCTGTAGAAACACTGTGTTTATTATAAGAGCCATTTGAAATCATTTATGACGTGTTTCAAAACCAAATCAATGAATTTTCCTACAAAACATGACAACAACTCAAGAAATGAAAGTCAAATATCATTTATAGAAAACAAGAAAGTGTCTGATAATTAAGACAGCATTTGTGTTGGCTGAATACAGTCTCATAAAATACCGACCACTGAGGAGAGCGACGTCTGTATCGATGTTTATATGATATTCTGGAAGAAGTTTAAGTTTGAAAAGCTGATTAAGAGTTTCTAGAATTGTTTATGAGTTGGTGAAGAGTTTACAAGATGCTATAAAAGTTCACATATAAATTATTTTTAAGTACAGCTCAAGAGTTTTGGAAACATTACAAGCTTTTGAAAAAAAATCAAGAATAAAAATGAATCTAAAAGTTTCCTGAAGTGTTGCTAGTTTCAACAAAGGTTTATATAAGAGAAGTGTCATGAGTCCCTGGAAGAGTTTCAAATGTTCTAGATCAGGGTTTGTAGCAGAGGCCATGCATGTCTGGAAGCATTGTATGTTTGTGGGAAAGTTAACTGTACAAGTGTTTCTGGATAAGCTTACGTGATTCTAGTTTAATTTCTAGCACATTCTAACACAAAGTTTGAGTTTCCAGAATGTGTTTCAGGGATTCTAGATGGTTCCTACTTTGTGCTGGAGTTTCTACACATTCTGTAAAAAATACAAGCCTCTTAAAAAAACCCAGAAAAAAGGAATCTAAAAGTTTCCTGAAGTGTTGCTAGTTTCAAGAAAAGTTTATATTACCAGAAGTGTTAAGAGTTTCTGGAGGAGTTTAAAATGTTCTGGATTAGGTTTCCACTGTGTACCAGAGGTCATGCATGTCTGGAAGCATTGTATGTTTGTGGGAAACTTCATTTTACCCTCTCATAAGTGTTTAAGGGTATGTTTACAAGATTCTGGATAAGATTATGCGTTTCTAGATTAATTTCCAGCACATTCTAACACAGAATTTGAGTTTACAGAATGTGTTCAAAGTATTCTAGATGGAGTTTCTACATAGTCTGTACTTTTCTGGGAACATTACAAGCATCTAGAAATGTTCCAGGGAAAAAAGTATCCAAAAGTTTCCTGAAGAGTTTTCAGTAACCTAAGTGTCAAGAGTTTCTGGAGGAGTTCAAAATGTTCTGGATTAGGTTTCCACTGTGTACCAGAGGTCATGCATTTCTGGAAGCATTTTATGTTTGTGGGAAAGTTCATTATACCCTTTCAGAAGCGCTTATGAAAATGTGGATCAGTTCACATATTTCTGGATTCATTTCTAGCACATTCTAACACAGACTTTGAGTTTCTAGAAAGTGTTTAAAGTATTCTAGATGGTTCCTACTTTGGGCCAGAGTTTCTACATATTCTTTACTTTTCTGGAAACATTACAAACTTCAGAAAATTTCCAGGAAAAAGTATCTAAAAGTTTCCTTAAGTGTTGCTAGTTTTCAATAACCTAAGTGTTATGAGATTCTGAGAGAGTTCAAAATGTTCTAGATTAGGTTTCTTCTTTGTACCAGAGGTCATGCATTTCCGTAGGCATTAGCCTATATGTTTGTGCGAAAGTTCATTATACCCTTTAAGAAGCGCTTATGAAAATGTGGATCAGTTCACGTGTTTCTGGATTAATTTCTAGCACATTCTAACACAGAGTTTGAGTTTCTAGAAAGCATTTACAGTATTCTAGATGGTTCCTACTTTGGGCCGGAGTTTCTACATATTCTTTACTTTCCTGAAAACTAATAGGTTTGTAGGAAGTGCTTATGGAAGAGTTTACCAGATTTTAGGTCAAGGAAAAACGAGCTCTGACTTTAAATATTCCCACTACACTAAATAAAAGTCTAGATAGGTTAAACAGTTTTTTTCCAGTTACACACCTCAGGGTGGGATGGAGGACGAAGGGAAGGTGGTGTTTGTCTACAGAAAACATATTTCAAGATATTTAAGATGGAGTCACTCTGTCCAGTTGTTGTGAAGTCTTTTCTTTGTATCGTCTATTGTATTGAGACATTATAAAGAGTGAGAGATGACGTGTGTCTCAGAATGTGTTGGATATAAAACGTGTCACGGCTCGTGTTGCAGATGGCGGCCATCGCTCTGTGTCTGACGTTGGGTCTGGAGGAATACTGGAAGACGCCTCCAGTAGAAACGACAGTCGATGACTTCAACAGAGTGAAGTATCAACCCAAACCCTCCCTCACCTGACCTCTGACCTCTGACCTCTGACCTGCAACCATTCAAACTGCTGGTGATGATTGTGAGAGTTCATTAAACTATCATCCTCCTCCAGGATCTGAAATCTTTTCTAACACAGCATATTTATATTTGACAGAAGGTCAGTTTGAGAAAACTTCACCTGAAGAAAGACCGTTTGTAAATCAATAATAATCGCGTGTTGAACTTGTGTAGAAAATGTTTGCTGGCACGCCTCCACGGTGAACGAAGAATCCAAAAAGGGAGAACATTATGATTTAAAACGTGTCAGTACAGTCGGGCCGTGTAACGTGCCTCAGCGTGCACATGACCGTCCCAAATGTTTGAAGGCTTCTACAGTCGGTTGATGATCAACGTGCAAATCAGTTTTCAGATGCTTCGTTTTTTGTGTATTTTTGCATTACCCCAAAAATCCCAAATAGCCCATGAAATAAGAAAAAGTAATCCAATAATCTACAGTCATTTTATGTATTCATTTGCTTACAGGTCTATTTTTGTACGAATAATTGAAGTGATTACGGCAGCAGCCATTTTTGCTTCAGTAAAGAAGGAAAATTCTTGAAGTCATATTTTTGTCCTCATCTCTCATGAGACTCAAAACTACAATAACAGCAAAGTTTATGAAAAATGCCGACAAGTTTTGAAGCTTTAAAGCCCCGAACATTAAGGATGCATTATGTATATGAGGCTGATAAATTATTGGCTGATAACGGGACATTTTTATAATTATGCATTACTCCCATAATTACAATTATAGCTGATAATATGAAGCCAGACTGCTCTCACTGACTCAATAAGGGCAGCGTCTACACACCAACACAGTGGGTCATGGAAGCACCGTTCTTTGTGTTTGTTGTGTTAACAGTAGTGATGTCAGGTTGATCTGGTTCGGTCAGAGACATATTTCCTCACATCATCTCAGCCTGTCTGACCCTCAGGTGAACATTAACTTTTCTGTTTAAAATACAAATGTGAAATTATCAGTTATCGGCCATGAGAAGCAGCTAGTTATCGGTTGGAAAAAAATCCATATTGATTCATCCCTACCAGAGAGAGTATTTGGGGCAGCCTTGCTCTGAACATTAGTGTTATAAATTGTAATGTTTCAATGAAAATACATGCGGTACTGATCACATGATGGATAAATGAGACTTGGGTTTTACTGTATGAGTTGTGTAGCAGTTTGTAAACACAGTGTAGATCCCCGATCCGTCCATGGCACTGAATTATAATGTAAAATATACACAGATGCACAGGATTGTCAAAATATCAAAAAAACTTCATGTTCACTTGACACAAAAACTCAGTGTGAGCCTGGCATTGACTAAAATATATGACATCACTTTCATCTCATTAGTTTAAAGGGATAGTGCACCCAAAAATGTAAATTCAGCCATTATCTACTCACCCATATGCCGAGGGAGGCTCAGGTGAAGTTTTAGAGTCCTCACATCACTTGCAGAGATCCAAGGGGAGAGGAGGTAGCAACACAACTCCACCTAATGGAGGCTGACGGCGCCCCAGATTCAAACGTCCAAAAACACATCATTGAAACCACAAAATATCTCCATACTGCTCGTCCGTAGTGATCCAAGTGTCCTGAAGCCCCGACATAAAAAGTTGTTTGGAAAAACGTTGCGTGAGCGCGGTGCCCAGAGAGGCAGTCAGAGCTACAGGCTACAATGAGGCTAAAAACAGAGTTCAAATGAGGTTTTTCCAAACAACTTTTTATGTCGGGGCTTCAGGACACTTGGATCACTACGGACGAGCAGTATGGAGATATTTTGTGGTTTCAATGATGTGTTTTTGGAAGTTTGAATCTGGGGCGCCGTCAGCCTCCATTAGGTGGAGTTGTGTTGCTACCTCCTCTCCCCTTGGATCTCTGCAAGTGATGTGAGGACTCTAAAACTTCACCTGAGCCTCCCTCGGCATATGGGTGAGTAGATAATGGCTGAATTTTCATTTTTGGGTGCACTATCCCTTTAATGTCAATAAACAACACAAGGGATTTTTGCCTATATCTGATATATAACATCTCATTTGACCGATAACTGATATCTATATATCCCTTGTCCCCTCCTAATGTCAGTGATCATCATCAAGTCTCTTCTGTAGTGAATTAACATCATATTACACACACAGACTGTGATGGTGACGGCCCACCAGCAGGTGGAGACATGAAACACTGTTCAGTGTGTGTAACATTCAGTCATTGTGAGAAATAAGAAACATCATGTTGGCTGATATTGATGACATGCACATATTATCGTGCGCCCCTAAACAACACTGTCACTGTGCACTGAACATATGGTGGCGTGTTGGGGCTGAATGGTCAGAGTTTCCAGCAGGAAACAAGCCAAATAAAACTGTGTTTAAATGTGTTGTAACTCACTGACGTTCCCTATCACACAGTGATGCATGTGTCTGTACGTCACTGTGGATCTGATGAGTTACAGTTAGTGTTAAAAGTGAGTTCAGTCGTACACACAGTTTGTGTCTGACAGGAAGCTGTGCTGAGGTGAAAAAGGTCAGAGTTCATCTCTTTGCCTTATTCATGCAGTCCAGCTCATCAAAATAATATATTTATAGTTCAATGAAATTAAAATAAAATGCCTTTAAAATGTGTCCTTAATGTTTTAATGTTGATAGAATTAAATGCTCCTCACAAAGGTCATGTGACACATCAGTTTTGTATCCAGTGAGCTCCAAACTTTTATGTTTCTGTGTTGTATTAAACTAAAGATTTGAGTTCAATCTATTTCCACACATATTTAAAGTTGAGTGAGTTTAACTGTTGTTAAATATCAGTTACTTTAATTCATGAAGAACGCTCGCCTTTCTTTGGATTCTTTGCCCACTGAGGAGGCGTGACACAGAGACGAAGGTAACACAGGGCGAGGGACTGATGTATAGATGATCATTCTGCAGGTCAAATGTCTTTAAGATCGTTCTTTATCCAGTCATGATGTTTATGTGATTAAAGTCTAAATACAGAAGGAGCAGCTGGTTGTGATGAAATGTTTGGCTGTCACCTGTAATAAATAATAATAATAATAATAAAGTTTATTTTGTCAGTGATGTGTGTGGTCTGTAGCTGTAGTTCCCTCCAGCAGCCACAAGATGGCAGTAATGATGCTAATATTAAGCTGCAGCAGCTCTGTGAGGACAAAGTGTCTCCGTCTGCGTCCCTCCCTCGGCCTCTCTGCTGATGCTCTGTGCAGAAATTAGATTAAATATTCAAATCATTTTCCAGCTCCAGATTTATTTTGAAAGGCTGACAGATGGAAAACAAGTTTTTAACTCCGCCCACTAAGATTTTTAAATGTTTCAAACGTGATCCTTTTACAGTCACGTTATAGTTCAGTGTCCTGAACTGCAAACCTGTAAACGTCTGCAGCTCCAGTGCTGTGTGCACAGAGTTCACGTACAGCTCTGTGTGACACCATTTTTCATTTACATGTTCACATGAGAGAGGGCAGAGCTGCAGGAGGAGGGGCTTACATCAGAGAGGAGGGGGCGTGTTTTACAGCTTTAATTAACCGACACTTTAACAGCAGAGTAAATCATCACCATGGCAACGACACGCATGTAGAAAATAAACTCCACAACAGATGCAGAGAAATAAAACCAGTGCCCTCAGTCTCTCTGTCCCAGTAGAACCAGTCCTCACTGTCCCAGTAGAACCAGTCCACTCTTTCCCAGTAGAACCAGTCCTCTCTGTCCCAGTAGAACCAGTCCATTTAGGAAGGATCCACCTGAGCTCAGTCAGCTGTGACTGTGACACACCTGTTTGTTTGTTTTGTGCAGAGATAAATAAATAACCTCTACAACATAATAATGACGTCATGCTCAGTTTCATTTCCTGGAACAAAAACACAAAACACTGATTTAATGATTTTATTATTCTTAATGTGGAAACACGTCCAGCTGTCTCACAGATACACAGCAGAGCTCCATGGACCTTCACACCTGCTCCTTCTTCTTCCTGATGTCACCGTCAGCTGCCACGTGGACATGATAACCCTTAATACACATAACCTTATTCATCCCTACAACAGGAAATACTTTTTCCCTAACCTGATATGAAGTGTGCGCTGCACATGTGAGCATTTTTGATGATGGCCTCCGTCCAGTCCTTTGGTCTTATCACATTTAACCATAGTTGTCTTTGTTTTTGTTGACGGGCAGTGGCGGCTGGTTTTGAGCCATGACTCCTTCTATTCTGGCTCCCAATAACACAACAAGACAAACACATTTTAACACTCCTATGGAGCCTACAGCCCTGTGGGGTCTGTTCCTATGCAACAACAATAACGTCTTTCTTGTTTCTTTAAAGTTGTTAAAACAAAGCAGCTCTGCAGTGTTCAGGAAAGGGAAATCCTCACAGGATGACGTGTTGTTTATATATGTTCTTTGAGTGTTTATCCAGCAGCGACAATGCACAATACATGTATGATATAACATAGCATGAAGCACATTTCCATCTGTCGTCTCCTCATGTTCAGACGTGCAGCAGCAGCAGCAGCAGCAGCAGCAGCAGCAACCTGTTTATAGGTTTGCTATTCTGTATATTTTGGATTTATTAAAATGTAGATGTTGTATTTTCAGTCTTTCACAGATCACAGTGTTTGTGTGTGGGACTCGTGGTTTCAGACACACTCAGCTCTTTCACAGGACGCAGGATTTCCTCTGGAGGCTGAACTGGTGACTGATAACTTTATGTCCATGCTTCCATTCTACCTGCACAAAAAACACAGGAGATAATGTGTTTGTGAAGACAGACAGTTGAGTTCTGTGGGTGCTGACTTTTTAACTATTCATACATAAATGTCTATTAAAGCAGGACTGTGTCAGCTTTAGGGGGGTTAGTGCTGAGGACAACAGATGACAACCAGCTGAAACTTCTCCTGGTCAATCCAAGATAAGTTTTGCATTTTAAAAAATCTGGAAGGGCTGACATGAAAACATGAATGTCCCCATCTATGGCCAGTGCTTAGTTTGTCCATTCTGGGCTACTGTAGAAGCATGGTGGACGTATGATGACAAGGACGCACTGGCACAAGTCAGTTAATTGA